GTCAACAACAAACAGTTGTTTATATCTTCAGCAAATCTGTAACCAAATGATGGGTAGCAGTGAACACAAAACAGTGAAAATGTTATTAATGAGGTGGAACACAGAATGGGGGGGGTCATACTTTATGTAACAAATACGGAAACCTCTTAAAAAGTATAGCAAGGTTCTAGGATGTGTAGTTCCATCCTCCCCGACATCCCTTCTGCAACAGGAGGCTTGACCTCTGTAGTGGCCTCAAGGGGGAGACTCCCATCGCTTTGCCTTGGCTGAGCCTCCTCTCACTCCCAGTATATACCTGCGCTAACCTCATTCATGGAGCTGCGTTCCTCAAGAGTTCATTAATCAAGACATTACTACTGTGTCTCCCAGCCTATGGGTTCTTCCAGGAAATGATACCAATTGCTTTTTCTTCTCATAAAGGCCACTTTAAATATCTGACAGAGGAGAGAGATTAGAGAAGCACTAGGTCAGCAATTAAAGGAACAAGTTTCTGAGCACCCGTGTCTTCATTTGTTATGTGGGAATAATACCTTACCCTCCTACCATCCCAGGATGTTTTGAAGCTTAAAAGCAGGTTATTTAAACATTATTTACAAATGATAAAGCATCACACCATATTATACATATGTACCATATATATATCGTACCATATATACATACACATAAACTATACACACATGCACACACATACACACAAAGCCTTTATTGTGATACCCAATTTGCCTCCCACAGAACTTTAACAATAACTAAAGTTGCATCTAACACATTCTAATCTGTACCATACTCACTTGATTACATAGTTACCTTTCCAATAAAGTCTATGTATGTTTTGTCTTTGTATATTCCACAGACACTAGCACAATTTCACGTAATAAATGCTCTCTCTATATGAGTTCTTAAAATCATTATTGTAGGATTTATTCCTTTTAGAAATGTAAACTGCAGCAAATCTTGACATTCCACATTTATTTAGAAAATCTTATTTAAAACTATCCATTAAGGGATGCCTGGGTGGCTCAGTTGGTTAAGCGTCTGCCTTCAGCTCAAGTCATGATCCCAGGGTCCTGGGATCGAGTCCCACATCAGGCTCCTTGCTCAGCAGGGAGCCTGCTTCTCCCTCTGCCTGCCGCTGCCCCTCCTTGTACTCTATCTCCGACAAATAAATAAATAAATAAAATCTTTTAAAAAATGACTAAAACTATCATTAAATTTTGACATCCTATAACTAATAAATAATTGGGAGCCCTTTAAACTAACTAAAGATCATATTACAACAAACCTTACATGAGAATTTTTTTAAAAGATGAGGACAATAATGCAAATGTCTCTTTAAAGAGAATTAAATGCAGGGCTAATATAATTACCCCAGGTGGAAATCCAGGATTTGAACAAAAGCAAGAGGTTAGCACTTCTATTCCTATAACTTCTGCAGCAGGCAGGAGCTGAGACTTGATTTAAATCTTAGTTATAATATATTTTAATTCAATGTATTTTAATTTAATTCAATTTAATTCTAGTTCATTTTAATTCACTCTTTCATCTTGTTTTGTGTGTGACTTCAAGTTTAAGATTCTTAAAAAGCCCTCTGCAGAGGAGCTTTGGAGCAAGGAAGCAAGCTGCATCTTGTCCCTTCAGATTTTAAGTTGTATGCCCAACACCAGTAGGTACTTTCTCTGAATAGCTACGGCACACCACTCCACACCCCGCCACAACCTACTGGCATGGCTACATGGTCACCTCATTTCACAGCACAGAAAGCACTTGATAACAGACCAATAACTGGATTAAATAAACTTAGATTGCCAAATAAGCCTAACTGTGAGGGAAAATAATTGTAGCTGTATTCTTTTGCTAGGGCCACCATAACAAAATACCAGCCTGGATAGCTTACACAATATAAATGTATTTTCTCACAGTTTTGGAGGCTAGAAGTACAAGATTAAGGTGTCAGCAGGGTTGGTTTCTTTTACAGCCTCTCTTTGGCTTGCAAATAGCTGCCTTCTTGCTGTGTCCTCAGATGGTCTTTTCTCTGTGTATGCTACCCTTGGTGTCTCTCTTTATGTCCAAATTCCCTCCTGTCTTAAGGACACCAGTTAGAATGGATTAGGGCCCACTTTCAGGAACTCATTTTAACCTAACCATCTTTTTATAGGCCTTATCACCAAATACAGTCACATTTTGAGGTACTGGAGAGTTAGGGCTTCAACATATGAATGGGATGGGGGGACACAATTTAGCCTATAACAATAGCTAACTAGGTTCATTTATCTCTGTCTGAGAGGCACTAGTTTAGGCTTTGTTCATCTTAGAACCCAAAGGATCTCTTTCAGCCATCCTTCTCCCACATAATCTGTACAGAGAGAAGCAATTTTGGAGATTATGTTCTATGTAGCCCTCCAAGCATCACATGGGTCCCCTTGGGTACTTAATAAATGAAGACACTCATGGCGCCCCATCTGTTACAATATGGTTAGCTGTTTGAGAGTCACCAAAAAGTTGTCCAGCAAGAGATCTTATAAATTGTCTCTGAAACCAGAGTGGTGCTTTTACAATGTTTTCTCCTCTATGAGACACCAGCTCACTTTGAAATATGCCACCGCACATCTGGGAATCCCTTTGACCTTTCTTGCAAAGTATTGTCAACGGGGAAGAAAGAAACTATGGGAGAAAGTGCTCAAAGGCTCTTTAATGTTTCTGAGGAGCAATAATAAAAGAGTTAGGACAGACAACATGAGAGGCCCAGAGCCAATATTTGTGGCTTCCAGTGGACTATTAAGGAAGGTCATTTCTCCCTTAAATATGGTTGTATATGACATGTTAAACAAAAGATTTTAAAGAAAATAAGCCAAACTAGTGGTATCCAGGTTGATCTTTTCAGTTCTTGATGCATCAAGTTTTATGGAAGATGTACCTTATTATGACATACCTATGGTCAGACTGCAAAATACACTATTTTACCAAGCTTATAATGTCATTTTTATAAAGCAAGTAAATTAGAGTCTCCTCTTAAGAGTGCCTGCAATAATCAGAAAACTGTATACACCATTCTCAAGGGAGTCATGTTTTAATCTTCAAAAGGCCATTTATCTTACATATCTAGTGTATCTTAACAGCGTACAGCAATTAACACTTTATCTTGGCTAGTGTTAGGACCAGCACTATTAGGAGTGAACAGAGAATATGGTTTATCAGTCACAGTAATCTGCATTTATCACCACACAAACAACTGGGCTTGAGGAAACCTTTTCTGGTAGGTTCTAGTTTACTGTTTAATCCATTGCCAATAAAATGAGAACTCCCCCTCTAAGTAGTTTTCCTAAATATGGGGAGGCCTGGTATTACCTGTGCCATATTAACTTTCAAAAGACCAGCAGATAAAGAAGCCACATCAACAGCAACCTACTTAAGTATGAACAACGCCCAAAGAATGACAACTCAAAATCCTGGGCACTATACTAAAAAACAACTCCTTCAGCACAGATGATAATTAAGAAATAATATTTTCTCTGAATTTAATTAGCCAAGGTCATTGGTTTCACTCAAAACACTGAAGGGAAAAAAATAATGGTTTATGAACAGCAGGTATTAAAAGCACTCTTTATAGCACTCTTACTAGGTAAACAGAAATTGCTCAACAACCCCACAAATGTGTTAAAACCTCTCCCTTTCCCCACAATGGTAGTCAAACAGCATAAATGAACTGACATGAATGCCAATGAATCAAGCAAAAACTCCTCAAAAAACTTGTCTGTGGTGCCACAAATTTTTATTTGGTAACGGTTTGTCATAAATTTTTTGAAAATCACATGTCCTGGTATGCTGCTGTCTTTACTCTTCCTTTCCCTTTCTTACCATATTTTTTGCCCTTTGGTTTCCTGACACTTCCATTTTCTCTTTTTATGTTCCTGTTATGCTCACCAAACGACAGAAACCCGCGGTGTAACTGATCACATCTCTAGCAATCTTTTTCTTATTCTAGGGCTTTCCAGATTAGAACGGGAGACCCAGGTGCAGCCCAAATATTACCTACTCAGATTTTCCAAGCAAAGTGTGCGTGGAAAAGCCTCTCTTCACCCTTCATTTTGTGTCTCTTTAACTAACGGCGCTGTAGTGCCCAAACGCAGATATTGACCAAGAACCAGATTTCCAAAATGGCTTTGCTCCTTTCGAGCCGGCATAGGGTCTATAAAATACAATTTCTTTCCACTGCAACCAACCCTTCTCTCTACCCCAAATGTTACCCTGTACGGAGACAGCGGAACCTAACCCAGTATAGACAACCGAATCACAGCTCTAAATTCAGTAGAAAGACGGCACAACCGTTGGACTGATGTAAAAAGAGCGTTAAAAGAAAAAAGAAAAAGAAAAAAACCCAAGCAGAAACCACACCACGCAAAAACCCGAGGGGCGGGCGTCACCCAAAATCGCGCCCTCCCGCCGCCTCGCCGGCCGCGAGCACGCCTCCCCGCCGCGGCCACGCCTCCTCCGTCCCCGCCCCGCCCCGCCGCGGCCACGCCCGACGTGAGGCGCGGGAGCCGCCGGGCCGGAGGCGGGGCCTGCGCCGCCCTTCCCCCCCAGCCCCCTCCCGCCGCCGCCGGCGGCCTCCACGCGGGCCTCCCAGCCCGTATTCCACTCACTTTGTTCTCCGCCTTTGTCCTAATCCACACCAGCAGGTGGAGCCGCAGTTAAAGTTTCTGAGTCCATTCCGGGAGCGGGAGCCCATCTTGCTCGCCGCCGAGGCCCTAGCTGGAGGAGGAGGGTCAGAGCTCGGGTGCAGCCAATCGCGGGCAACGCTGCTAGTTATCAGAGCAGAATGGGCTGTAGTTTAGTGAAATAGGAAAGCTGCAAAACACTGTGGAGTGCTCCCGTGTAAATAAAAAGAGGAAAAAAAAGTTTCTCAAGTCGCCGCTGCACGACGTCGGGCAGGCGCCGGGGCGAGGGTCTGCGCTCTCCCGAGCGGCCGCGCGCTGGACTTTATTGTGCCGCAACAAGCCCCCGTTCCCATTGTTTGTGTTTTTTTCAAAATATGGCAAAGGTTCAGGTGAACAATGTAGTGGTGCTGGATAACCCTTCTCCTTTCTACAACCCGTTCCAGTTCGAGATCACCTTCGAGTGCATCGAGGACCTGTCTGAAGGTGAGTCGGGCGCCCGCCCGCCGCCGGGCTGTCAGTTGCGGGCTGCAGACGTTGAAAGTTTCCCGGGCCCGGCCTCGCGCGGGCGGCCGGTGCTCGGCGCCGGACGGGCGGCGGGCTCGGCTCTGCGGAGGGAAACTTGAAGTTGATGGACGACGGCCGCCGAGGCGCGCGCGGCGTTCGGCCGCAGCCGGGGCGCCTGCCGTGGCTCAACTTGCGAGGAACTTGTTCGAGCGGAGGTAGCCATGTTGTCAGCTTTGTCTGGCGGGCGGGCGGTTCGCGAGACCCGCAGTCGAGCCCGCGGCGCCGGCCGGGGGTCGCGCCGGCCTGGCCCCGCACCGCGAACGGCCTCCGCGGCCCCGGCACAGAGGTTGGGAAGGGAGAGGCATGTGTGTGGTCGCGCCGGCGAGTTAGCAGCGGAGCCATCTTACCAAGAGTAGAGAATTGGGCCACCGACCCCGGCGTCACGACGCCTCCTCTCCGCGCCGCGGGTGACGAACGCGGCGCCCCGCCTGCCCACCTTCTGCCCCCGAGCGAGAGGCAAATCCATTTTTAGAGCTTGTGCTGGAGTTGCCCTACTCTCTGGGGTGGCCGTGCCCGGCCGCTCCGGGGAGGAGAGCGAGGCTGTCCTCGCGCTGATTTCTGGCTCCCTGGACCAACCAGCGGGGGAGGCGGGCGCAGGCTCGGCCCCTCCGCGCCGCGGGCCGGACTCCGGCGCTCCCCGGGGACGGCGGTGCTCCCCCGCGGCACTCCCCAGCCGGCGCCCGGGATGCTCCGGGCGCCCGGGGATGCTGGCGCGCAGGCTCGCCCGGACTGGCGTGGACTCCTGTTCCGTAACGACGGAAACCTCTCCTCTCTCTCAGGAAGAGAAATACTCCTAAGCTAGAAAGTTACATTTAACCCAAGAGCAGAAATAAGTAAAACACTGAAATAATTTCCAGGACTTAATCACTGGCTTCTTAGTGGTCCGAGAGACTTGTCTTCAAGAATGTGTTGAAATCTAATTAAAATAACTCCACATCCAAACACCCTGAGCATAAAACACCAAAGTGGGCTAAGAAATAAAAGGTAAAGTCCTGATAGCAATGCAAAATTTTTTACAATTTTTTCTAAGTTCGTTTTAAGGTCTCCAAAGATAGTTTTATATTATGTGCAGTAATATTTAGAAAGCTAAAACTTGCCAAGGTTTTTATCTTTGCTCTTAGATTTTATTAAAATAATCCAGTGCTTCCCTTTCAAAATTTGAGGAGAGAAAATTTAATTTCATCAATGGTAATTTTACAATTAAATAGGGGACATACTTACTTGAACCTACAAGTATATTTAACAAAGATGCATTTAAAATTATGCTAACCATGGTATATAAAGCATTTCATTTAAAAAGTTTTTAATCTCCACAAAATGTATTTTATGTAGGGTGTTAGTTTTCAAATTATAAAAGCAACACATCCTCATTGGAATAAACTTTTTAAAAGCTGTACATACATATAGAAAGTAACAGTCCTCTGTACTCAAATGCCTTCCACCATCTCCTGTAATTATAATTAACACTTTAATCTTTGCTCATCCAATAAGTATTAATGCATACATAAAGCATATATGCATATATATATTATATGTAGGTCACATTTTGAAAGACCATTTATTAAACTAATTTCTAATAGGCCACTGATAATAAAATTAAAGGGGATTTTTTTTATTACACTGAAGCCATTTGAGTACTTTCCCAGAGTACTACTATAATCATTTCAGCTATCAGGCCAATTTTTCATACCCAACAGTAAGTTTTCCTTTTTACTGCCAATTGCATATAAAAATGGGCAAACGCAAGAGAAACCATTGATCAGTCCATTCCAATGTACTATATGTTTTAAGCTTTAGAAGTTCTTCAAATTATAAGTATTTCCCAAGTGAGACTTTCCATTTTAAGAGCCAGTTTTAGGACAAGGATGATAGATGATTCAGGATGTTGCAGGGCTTTGACATTGGATGGTTGAAACCCACCATTCATGGAAGCAGAATTATGTTCCATTTTTAACTGGCATCTATTCAGAACTCGGCTGAATCACGTCAGAGTTTTTATGATATTAGTATCAACAGTACACTTACTTCCAATTGTACTCCTCTTTCTAGGGCACTTATACTGGTTATTTAGCATTTTTCAAAAGAGTTTAAGCTGAGTCATACTGAAGCTGCAAAGGAATCTTTCAAAAAGGTGCCATGCTTGTGTACTCCACCTAGAGGCTATGTGGATTAAGGAAATTGAGTTTATTTAGCAAAAGCTTCTTACAAGTTCCATACTTTTATATTGCAATTCTTTAAAAAATTCTGTTCTTAAAATGAAACTACAGAATATTCTTAAGAGAAATTTTCACTTCATAATTTTGTCTTAAGTCCCAAGCCAGAGGTTGGCCACCATTTTTCATACTTAAACTTGGTAAGAGACTCAGGATATGTTTATCTGATGGTTCCCAAGCTTGTACAAGTTTTGATTGACCTTCCTGCTAATCTTATGCCCTCTGTAGACTGCTGATTCTTTGTTTCTCTAACAGAATGGAGCCATTTTTTTTTTAAGTTGGTCAATATCAATAATTATAAGCTACTGTCAGTTGAACCCTTACAATGTATCAGAATTGAACATGGTGTTTCATGCTTTTAAGCTTCAGGCTTGTTCTAATTCCCAAAGATTACATACTTTACACTAACCACAGATCTTCCCAAGTAGGGTAATTAGTTTAAAATTCCCTTGGTGACTTCCCTCACTCCCAACCATAATTGCAGATACTTGCAGACTAGGGTTACCGATTAAATGAAACAATTAGTTAACTTTTTAAATAAATGAATAAACTCCAACAGATAACCTGTGCATCTGATTCTATCCCTTTTCCTCCTTTGAATACAGGGGACAGGGGAATGAAAGCAGAGTTTAGGAGTAAAACAACTGATGCTCATTTATAAATAAGTTACTGAGCATTCTAAACTCAGTAGCTACAGCAAGGATCCCATTAGCATAAAAATTAAGGTACAGGTGTTCACTGAGTTACAGCCTGTGCTCCTTAAGGGTAGATTATCTTTCCATGGCCTATCTCCTCACCCATCTTCCTCTTGCAAAAAAGGTGACGCTTGCTGCCTTTATCCTCAAGATTCATCCAGAGTGTGACTGCTTCTCATCCTCATGGCTACATGTGGTCCAAGCTACCATCAGTTTTTGCCTCAGTTGTTAAAATATCCACCTGTTTCTTCCCTCACCGTCTTACAGTCCATACTGAACACAGGATCCAAAATGATCCTTCTAAAATGAAAGCTGGATCACGTTACCCTTCCAATCAGAACCCTCCCAATGGCTTCCATTGCCACTCAGTATAAAAATCAGAAGTCTTTAATGATGGCCTTTAAAACTTTGCATAATCTGGCCATGCCCCTAACTGACCCAATCTAATGGTCAGTTATTTCCCTCTTTATTCAGTTTGCACCAGCCCTGGCCTCCTTGCTTTTTCTTGAGCAAGCTAATAAGCATGCTCCTACTTCCAGATATTTGCTATTCCTTCTAACAAGATACTCATATTGCTTCTTTCCTCTTTTAATCTTCATCAACAAATAAAAGATCTCGTGAGATGTCCGATGCAGGAGCACCTTGCATCTGGAAATATGCTAGAAGATGGAAATGTAAGTGGTCTAGGACAGAGCCATGAAATACATAACAGGTCCTCAGAAAATGACTGCTTAGTGAGAGAATAAAACTAAAGGAGCTTTTCCATAAATTGCAGTTTATCATACAGTATGAATAAGTAGTACCTATACTATTTCTCTTGCCTATTTAGGGAACAAAAATACACAGTCACACAAAAATGGCAATACCATGGCAGCACTAAGTAGATTCTCAGTGCGTGACCTAGAAACACTCCTCTGGGAGTGCTGCCGTAGCCTTGGTGTAGTGAATCCAAGAGGTAGGCCACACGGTGCTAAACACCTTAGGACCAGAAGGTCTCAGAGGTGATTTGCAGTTGTCTTCCTCCCCCTACTAAAGAGGAGGTGGCTCCTTTGAAAGAGCAGTTGTTTTACTCACCTCTGGGTTCTTGTAGCAGAGCTTTCTGTAAAAGGTACTCAATAAAAGCTGAATTACATATAACAATTGCATGGAACGTCTTGGATTGCACTTTTTAATGTATCTTATTCCTCCTCATGCCTGTTCCCACCACCTATACTCCTGTATCAAGTGGTTATAGGATCCTTGGTTTCCTCACCTATGACATGAAGAGGTGCCATGAGGAAAAATTACCCGACTACAAATAATTTGACAGTTGATGAGCTGAAGCCTCTTAAACTTCTGAGCCACAAGGGAAGTTTGCTAATAATGATTTTCCCCACTTTGGAGCTCTTTGATAATTTGAATCTGTGCAACGTAATATGGGGTAGCCCTTCCAAAGTGTGCTTAGTGTTAGTAGCTTGTTAAAAGATGACATATATAAAAAAGGGGAGGGATTCCATAGGCCGAACAAATGGTAAATGCCGGATTAATGTTACTGGTGTTCTTTACTGAAGAAGTCTCAGAACACTTACTCTGCCAGTGTGCTTTATGAATCCTCAAGACAAGGTTGTAGCATTTCCCAAGTTTTTGGCCATGTTGTTTTGTTTGTGAGGAGCCCTGCCCAGGGACTAGTGTTTCACAAAAGAACATTCTGAGAAACTCTGGTAAGAAATGTAAGAATTTAATAAGGAGCAATTCAGTATCCTTCTGGATTTTCTGCCATGAGAAGCCAATTTTAGCAGCCAATAAATGGCTTAAGTGGACATTAAAAGGGTCTTTGATATCATCTCATAATGTAGTCACTGAATATGAAATAATGTTTTGGTTTTTAACCCTAGACTTGGAATGGAAAATTATCTATGTGGGCTCTGCAGAAAGTGAAGAATACGACCAAGTTTTAGACTCTGTTTTAGTGGGCCCTGTTCCCGCAGGAAGGCATATGTTTGTATTTCAGGTAAGATGATTCTTGGTAAATATGTATGCCAAATATGTTTCTAAACCATTATCTCATGGTCCTTATCCATGTCCTCTTGGGTTAAGTCACTCTGCTTCTGCTGTATTCACTTTTTATCTGCTTCTGTTGTGTGCTGTGAGATGTTAATGTGAGGTTTACTCCAGAGTTTGCACAGCACACGGTAAAGCTTCCAGTGTCATGGCACACATGGTGGTGAATTCGGGGCTCTTCCTGTGAATAGTCCTACAGTATCAGACTTTCAGGGTGGCTGTCCAGCAGCCCAATACAGGGGTTCATTGCATACTACTAACTGGCTTCGTTAATTATATGCATCTTCAGTTTATGGTTTCGTCCATTAGGAGGAATGATCACGAAAACAACAGCTTTATTTGAGCATAATCAGTAAATGAGCTAGGTTAATAAGTATGCTGCTAGATAGAGATCTACTGCATAAACTTGAATCGTTGGACTTAAGGTCCGGTGGTTTACTAAAGCATCTAATCTACACATATTAGAGAGGATTACTGTTACAAATCTACTGCTCTGTTTATTATTTGTTAGAGGAAATTCTAATACAAATTATGTTCTCAGCTATCATTGACAGTATTTGGGTCTGTGCCAAGGCTTTAGACACTGTCTTCTGTATTCAAAGTGTTACTTCTTTGAATCCATGTTAAATTGTTGTATAAAGCTATTCAGTCACTTCTCAATTATCCATGCTTATTAGAGGGAGATATTTATAAGTAGCCCAAAGAGTAGCCACAGGTTTAAAAAAACCCAAAAAACTATTAATTTTGTTACAAGTATTTCTATACAACAAAGTCCCCATTAGTTAAGTAGAACCTACTGAAAAGACTTCATCCAGAAAGAAAATTAACTCTTCCTATCCCTGCCCTCCCTTTTTTTCTCATTTCACGGATGGGACCAATGTAAATGAATACTGTTGGTCAGCTAATTCCATCAGATATGGGCCAAAAATTATAAACGTAATGGTATCTCTAGAGTTGCTACCCATCCGTCCCTTCTAAACACAGATTTCAGAATCTTGGTCTCCTAGCCTTAGTGTTTTTTATTAAAAACCAACAAATAATTTCCTATGTTTCAACAAATGTTTAAGAAAAGCTCAAATATATTAGTTCAAATCTACTCATTAAAAGTGCTGTTAACCTGAATTATGTGAGTGCGTAACGTTGATGAAAGATGTGGGTACCAGACAATGTGTAGAGGGAAGCACTGCAGTTATAGACCTGCTTCAGATCCTGGCTCTGTTGCTTATTAGACACGTGTGACTTTAGACAGGCTCCCTAGCCTCCCTTAGTCACACTAGTCGTCTATAAAATATGGATAATATCCTACCTCATCGGAATGTTATGAGGATTAAATGAGGAATAAAGCAGTTAAGTGCTATCACTGACAAATAGCACCCTACTTCTATTAGAACTAAATTTTTATTGTCTTAAGTTCTTGAAGTTGTTACATAAAAGAAGCAGTATTTGCTTTGACCGACAAGCTTGGAAAACCCACACTTCACTGATGATAATTCATGATGTGGTAAGAAACATGGATTGACATGTAGCGAGATACCTTTTTATGCTGTTGTAAAACCTGCAAATAAATCCCTTGGCTTTGAAACAAACCCTTAAATGTCTTTTCTGTGTGTTTACGTTGTTAAGAACACTCTAAAGTTTTTGGCTTAGAGTGAATAATTTATTCAAAAATATCTCCCTCTAGTGATTTTCCAGTAGTTTTACCTTGGTATGAGTGTTTGTGTTGCCAAGAAGGACAGAGAAAGCACTACGCGATTTAAATCAGATGGTCAGCCTGTACATCTTACAAAATTCACCATTATCAGCAAAGAGACTAAAATACAGTTTTTGTTTTGTACTTTAAACAAACTGCCATGAATAAATATGCTAGTCAAAGACTAGCAGGAAGATGTCCAGACATCTGCCTAGTACTGCTGGTTGAAGTTAAAAATCTCTACCTATCACTTCATCCTAAGTGATCTGAGAGGCCTGTGGGTTTTTCTACTTGAATGTGAATTTGCCCAAGTTGAATCCTTTGGCAAACAAATTTTAAAAAACAAACATGGCTAGAACCAATCTACTGAGGGGATGGGAAGCACTATGGGGGGAAGATCTCCATAGCAGTACTGAACTACCTCTGTTTCCCATTCTCCACTCATTTCCAGGACATTAGAATCTCTTTGGGTAACCTGGAAGTAACCTGACCCCTCTGGGGGGAGGGGGGGTGTACAGGATCTGTAAGACAAATAGCATATTCCCAGGACAGGCCCTCAGTCACCCTGCTGATCTCTTTCCAATCAGTCAAATTACTTCATGTCAGGAATTGAGTTACGAATGAATTTCAAAATACTAAGTATATACTCTGTGCCCAGAGCTGTGCCAGACATGAGATTATACAAATGAACTGGATAGAACTTTTGCCCAGGAAAAAGCTTAGAATCCCAGGGAAGACTGAAGGGTAAACATACTTATTTAGATTATTGGACACAGATTAGTAGAGGATGTGTGTCAAGTAATTTTAAGTGCAAAAACAGTATTATTTTACCTTCTGAATCAGAAAAGGGTTCACTGGGGTCACCTGGGTGGCTCAGTTGGTTAAGTGTCTGCCTCGATCTCAGCTCAGGTCTTGATCTCAGGATTTTCAGTTTAAGCCCCGTGTTGGGCTCTACACTGGGCATGGAGCCTTCTTAAGAAAGGGCTTCACTAAGGATACATTTCATGAAATTTAGAAAGATGAATATTTTAGGGTGTAGGGAAGAATCCTGTAGGCCAAGAGAACAGTATATGCAAGGCACAGAGGCATGAAAGATTACCACTGCATTTTAAAGAACTCTGTCTAATCCTAGAACAAAAGAAAGAGGTGTAGAATTAAAGGGAGTGTGAATGGTTGAAGACAAATTGTGAAGGGCCTTATAAATGCAGTTAAAGAACAGATTTTTACTTCAGAAATGGGAGTAATCTGGAGTTTTTAAAGCTGGTGAAGAAACAGGAACGGATCTTTGCCTAGCTAATGCTGGCAGTAGTGCAAAGAGCAGGTGAGCTGGGGGATTCCAGTTAGAAAGTTTCAGCAGTATTCCAGGTAAGAGAAGAAGATACGATCTGAGTCTTCAGAGATGAGAAATGTTGAGACTGGCTGGATATGGGAGTTAGGGAAGAAGGTATGGAAATTTTCAGCCTAGGTCGATGTTTTAGACTGGATAGATACTGTGCCTTTCTGTGTCATCTGCATGTAGTAGGTACACAATAATCATTAGTCTTTGATGATAATGGCCTGATTGAGAATGTCAGCCAGGGGTGTTCCCAAGCTACGGCACTGGCTGAAGCGTTCACCCAGGCCCAGGGATGTTCTTTAGTGTCCTGGCAAGAGTAAGCTAATCTGCTGGGATGAGCTTCATCCATTCACCACTCAGAATGGCTGCCTCAGGTCACACTCAGATGCCTTACTGTCACTGCCCATCAGCCCATGACTCTTTCCAACCAGTCTCCTTACTGCCTCTTGCACTGCCATGGATAGGACCCTAGCCTTTGCTCATGCTGTTAGCCTTCTCTAGCTCACTTGCTTCACCTTCTGCATTCCTCAAGATTCAGCGACCTGATTCAAAACAGCGTCATTAAGTATATCTTCTTAAACCAATCTTTACCTTCATTGTATTTCCATAGTATGTGTGGTTTAAGTAGTACACTATATTTTAGTGCCTATCAAAGTCATTCACAACAGACGATTAATATTTTTGAAAATCTGCTATAGAGCTATTTCTATTCCATTTTCAGTCTTACGTTAATTTACTATTAGAATATCTGTGCAGGGTAGGAGAGTGGGTATGAGAAGGTGTCCCGAGTATAAGAAAGAAACTAGTATAATAAATATTTGCTGCCAACAGGCTGTGTGGAGTTCATTGAATATTTACCAATTTTGGTTTGGAAATTATGACTGGAATCAATTAGACTATTGGCTTAATCCCTCATGAACTACCACATAGTCTGACTAGATTTATCTTCCTATAAAAGTAGTGAAGTTTTCAGGTGCCCAGAATAATTAGGTATACTGTAGAAAAATAATCGAACTATATTTTCTGACTATAAGTCAAACTCAAAACTAAGCATTTGCCTTCCCAGTATGATTTCCAAGTTTTTGTTGCTATGCCCTTAACTGAGGGTGCTCAGGGTAACCAAAACTCCAGTCTTGCTTGCAGTTAACAGCCTTTTGTGATGTGTTTCTTTTCTTTTTAAATTATTCTAGGCTGATGCACCTAATCCAGGACTCATTCCAGATGCAGATGCAGTAGGTGTAACAGTTGTGCTAATTACATGCACCTATCGAGGTCAAGAATTTATTAGAGTTGGCTATTATGTAAATAATGAATATACTGAGACAGAACTAAGGGAAAATCCGCCAGTAAAACCAGACTTTTCTAAGGTAATGTTCTGACTGTTCTTTTTCATTACTTTTACTATACTTTTTTTTTTAAGTAGATGCCATTTCATAGTATATTATGAAAATAGCTTGGAGACAAAATAAATTTGAGGTCCTTGTGCCTCAATGGGCAAACTAACCATTCCATTCCCATCCTTGACCTCAGACCCTACCTCCTGATGAATCATTAGTAATTAATGTTGGTCAGGCACCTTCAGAGTCTCTGATGGTTTAGAAAGTTGAAAGTGCCTCCTGTAAGAAACAAGATAGTTGTTTACAACTTTCTCTATGGCATTTCCCATACATCATATGTATTAGAGATTAAACCAAAGGTCTTAAGTATTTCTGGTTATGGAAAACAGCTTCTGAGTGAGAAGCTGAAACTTGTGCTTCAGAAATACAGATTCTCAGAAATACTTCCTATTTTATGATTTTTTCATTGGAACCTGTAACAGCTTAGTAACTGGTGACTTATGTGAGATTGAACACAACACTCCCTCTGCCCGATCATGCAAGAAAAATTACATGGGGAGTAGAATGGAATGTTCTTTCTGATAATTAGGCTGCAATATTTAATCCTGGTATGGGACCTTCCCGTGACTCAATGTATTAGTTACCTATATGGCACCTTGTATAGCAAAAAACAAGTAAAAAACTAGAATACTGTTTCTGAGAGTGAACCATAATAATTAAAAGGTAGGAACCACTAATAATGAGAGGTTATACTTGGGGAAATTTTTATTTTCTTTGAAAATATTACTGAAGAGACACCATATCAATCTAAAAAGCAAGGATGCTAGTTAGATAAGCATCCTATGAAGAATTCACCCTCAAAAAAGAAGAGATTCTCTCCCTTTTAGGAAACAGAAGCATAGAGGGGTTATTTTGTTGGTTAGTAAATGTTCTGGATGAATTCCCTCAGATTCTCCATATCCTTTCCATTATGCTAAAATAATTTTTCTGCTGTAGCCCTAGTCCTTGTGTATTAGTTATGTTTAAATTGCTTTACTTAATTTTATGCCTTTGTAAATGAACTTAAGCCCTTTAGGAGTACTGATACAAAGAACCATTTTATTAAGCTATTTGTATATGGTATCTAACTTTCTTAATGCTGTCTATTTATATATTTCCTTTTTCCTTTAGCTTCAAAGGAACATTTTGGCATCTAATCCCAGAGTTACAAGATTCCACATTAATTGGGAAGATAACACAGAAAAACTGGAAGATGCAGAGAGCAGTAATCCAAATCTACAATCACTTCTTTCAACAGATGCATTACCTTCAGCATCAAAGGGATGGTCCACGTCAGAAAACTCACTAAATGTCATGTTAGAATCCCATATGGACTGCATGTGACCACCTGCCATCCCTTTAGTACAAATTAAGCTATAAAAACACACAGAACTATTTCCCTGAAATTCCGTAAGTACATAGTCAAGACACAATGTGAAGAATTTGTTTAAAAACATCCTGTAGAAAGTTTATAAGAAAACCAGTATTTGAGCAAATTGTGGAATATAAATACAACTATTTTTAAGTAATTTTTTTCTCTAATGTGTTATTTTATTTGTTCTGAAACTAATCTGATTAAAACATATATATTATTTTCTTCTCCTCTATGTAATTAAAGCACTTATAAAGAAAAATATAAATCATAAGACCAGGTTGTAAAGCTGTCTTAGCCTTTTGGACAATAATCTTTGGACCACTATTTTACTGGCCTTCAGAAGAACAAACTTCCGACTTCAACTAAAACGTTTCTTCCTGTGATAAATAGTTTGGTTTAATGTGAGGGGCAAATTTCCATTCTTTTTTGTCATGTCCTTAAAGAAAGGATTTGAAGTCAAGTATATGCTACCACAAACTTTAGGACCTGATTTTCTAGGCCACCATACTAGCATGGCTACTATTACATGGAATGTTAGACAACATTCAGTTTGGTTTCTAAGATGATAACAAATGTGGTTAATTGTTCTTAAGGTCCTTTGGCTATGGTTTTTGTTTTGTAACAGTTTAGGACATCAGAATACTCCTTGAATCATATATCATTTTTACCCAGTGAATTCAACATGTCAAGAGCAGATATAAACTCGCTAAGTTTAAGAATAGGATATTATAATGACTTAGATCTATTCATGAGATTTATAAAAATACTATGACCTTAACTCTTCAAAACTGACTTGGTAGATCATCTGTTGCTGGCAGCATTTATTTAAAAAAAAAACAAAAACAGTGGATTTCAGAAGGTGTATTTAGCTTTATCATAATAGATAAGTCACTATTTTGGAAATATATATATTTTCACACATGTGGTACTCTTCTCCATATTCCTTAACACTCATGCAGGATAAGATTAGGCATGTTTGTGGTTGACATATTTTAGATAACCTTTCCAGATAAGTTTTTTTAAAAGCAATCTTGGAAAGGAATACATTAACTAAGTGGGCCAAAGTGTTCTTTTTCTTTGATGAGTGCTAGGTCCTTCCTCAAAGTTTCTTATGCTTCATTAAATTAAGTGTAGAACACTCTCATTACTCTTGCTGCTAAGCAAGACATTAGCCATATGATGCAGTTATGCAGTGCCTTTATATCTAGAACTTTTATACTGCACTTTTTAAAGCTTTTAGTTTGAGGAAGGGTAAAGGGCATTTGTCTGAATATGGATTCTAAGTTGTATATATTTCCTGTCATTCTAAAAAAATTTGTGAAGCAAATTTCGCTAAATGTTAAACTTTGAAATTTAATATACCAGATTATTAAAATTCTGTCCACTAACTAGTTCATAGATTTTAAAAATAAAATACATCCAACTGTTAAAACTATATGAAGAAAATTTCATTTTTGTCTAATTGCAATTAAAGGAAAATGTTAAAATATTAAAATGAAAATAAAAGTAAAATTTTCCAACAAAGAGCTCAGTGATTAATATAACAAGAACAAGATATGTGCTTGTTAGAAATAAAGCATATATAAGCCAAATTACCAAATAAAGCAATTTACTGCTGAGTTTTTAATTATAATGATTGATTCGTATTGACACCAAGGGTTAGGTTTTTACATCAGGTTGTAAACAGCTAATTTTCACAAAAGGTTGAGACTTAGTTTTTAAGTCATCTCTTAAATTTTTATGCTGCTGTAAGATTTAGAATTCAACTATTAGGCGCTAAGAAGCTATAGCATGGGGTTTTATTTTCCCCATTTCGCTTCATTTATAGACACTATCTGAATTACAGCTAAAATGTTTGGAGCAGTTTTCCTCCTTTTTGATCACAGTAAATGGCTCTGTCATGAAAAGATAAACATGAACCAATTACTTATGCCACAGGAGAGAGAAGCAAGTAGGCTAGAGGGAATGAGGTATCAGTTGAGCTAAGAAAACATTCAGGAAATCTGAGGAGCATGCATGCATTTGTTCATTTATAACTTTAGGCTTCCATGTGGTCTTATCGTTTGGTTTTAAGATTTGGGGTTTCTGATTTTACCAAGAAAGTCTATGGCAGCAATTTTCAAAACTTTTTACTGTAATCCCTGATTTAAAAAAAAAAAGTATGACCCTGCAACACAAGTATTTATGTTAATTTTCATGAAAATGCACCCATATAGTGCATCTTTATTGTGTGCAGTACATTCTGGTATCTTTTATTGTATTTCATTTTTAAAGTGCTGGTTTTGACCCCCTGAACTGACATTTATGACTCTTAGGGGTTGCGATACCCAGGTTGAAGAAAGGCTAGTCTGGCCTTTTGAGTAGATGAGACTTAGCAATAACTTTTCTATCATTCTGAAATTTATATTCCCCATACCTGTCTTTTCTCTTATATTTGGATTATGATCTTGACATTAAAAAAAGAGGGAAAAGTGCTAGTGTAGTCAATCAGCAGCCATTCACTTGAAAACTGTCCAAATATTCTGAAATAACTAGTAGCCCATCAGATGGCCTGGACTCATTTCTTGGCCCTCCATATAATTAACTTAGGAAACATTCCACATAATTACTTGGCAAACACTTCTATTTGTTTGTTACTGGTATCATTTTATACAGAACTCTAGAATACTGGGTCATAAGAATTTTTAAATGCACATAAAGTGTTCTTTATATATTCTTGCCTACTACCCTTCCAGTACGCTGAACCTTGTCTACGCCTCTACATTCACAAATCCCTTCTCATCCATGCTTAATGTACTATTCAGTTAAATTTCAAAATCTGAGAGCCTCTTAGAATGGGGCTTTCCTTATGTAGGACCATTAATGCAGCATTTGCTGCTTTGTGAGAAGTTTTATAGTGTAAGTTTCTCATAAGAAATTTCAGCACAGGCTTCCCTTAGTAAATAGCAAAGAACATTTGTAAAATGGGTGAAACCAAAGGCCTATTACAGACAGAAGTAAAGGAGAAATATTTCCCCAATCAAAACAGTGTAAAATACAAAATGGCATCAAGACATGTTTTCTAAAAATTTTCCTAAAGTTACTTTATAATCAAATCCTGACATTCTATCTGCAAAGGCTTTTAAATGTACTTGAAGAATCATCATCACAATGTATGAATGAAGCTCCACAATGCAATGAAAGTATGCTTTCCACAGATTAAGGCAAATTTTCTACCTAAGAATTTTCAGTAGGAGCTACTGTTGCCATGAGATCTATAAGCACAAAAATGCCTCAAGCTCTACGCCATTGATCTACTTTGGTAAAGTGAGATTTTTTCCCATTTATCTCAACATTGTTTACTAGGTCTTCATAAAATGCCAGATGGTGCATGCTTTTTCCACATTAAATAGGATCTTTCAAAACTAAGATGCAAAAAGATATATGGGATAAGTTTTAGGAAAATAAGTGAAAGTGGAGCTTTTAAAATACTTTCTTAGAGCTACAAAAGTACTACATATTTTCTTCAATTTTTGCTAGTAACTCAAAAATTAGCTTGAAATTTATCCTATGTTAGGTACTTTTTCATCAGAAAAACATTGTGCTAGTGTCTGTAGTAAAGTTCAATTAATTGAAATTGTCATGTAAAATACCTGCACTAGTAGATCCAATTCCTGTGGTGAGCACAGAGCGTGGTGTAATCTTTGCTGCATACTTGAGGAATTGGGATTTCCCTGTGCCAGGATCCCCAACCAATAAAAGATGAGATTCACCTAAAATAGTTAATAAAGTTTTAAATTTCTATGAAAAGACCTATGAATAAGTATAATTAATCAGGAAGAAAATGGTCTACTTGGAATGCCAACAGAATTTATATTTTATGTTTTTGCTATATACTTAAGGTCACTGAAGGACAGACTTAACTAGATATCCTCAGAAAAGTTAACTATCATCATAAATAACAATCTTTAAGTGATTTCTGAATGTGACTTAAAATCTAAATTAATAAACTTTGTGTTATTTCCAGATGTTCAGGCGTATGTTTAACATTTTAAAAATTTTTGGCTTATAAAGTTTCTGATTTTATTTAATCTATTTTTATTTTATTAAAGATTTTTTTTTTTTTTAAGATTTTATTTATTTATTTGACAGAGAGAGACAGCAAGAGAGGGAACACAAGCAGGGGGAGTAGGAGAGGGAGAAGCAGGCTTCCTGCTGAGCAGGGAGCCTGATGCGGGGCTCGATCCCAGGACCCTGGGATCATGACCTGAGTTGAAGGCAGACGCTTAACCGACTGAGCCACCCAGGCGCCCCTTAATCTATTTTTAAATATCAAACTACTTGATTACATCTTTCCATACAAGCCATACAAATATTTTATTCCATTTTTATTCAAGTATTTTTAAGTGTTCAGTGCTTTATAAGTGCTTTATAAGTATCAAATCACTTATGATTGTAATAGTTAAATGACCTTTTCATTTTATGAAAATTTTAGTAATTTAATGAAATATCTACCTTAAAGTACTTATTTTCAAATGTAACAAATGAACATATGAGTATCTTGTGGTATGTATTATCTCACTGATCAATTTATTCAGTAATATTCAAGTATTTCCTAAATACATTAATAGGAAACTCCTACTTAAGCTCAACGTTTAGCAGAGTGCCTTGCAATTAATAGGTGATCAAAACATACAATACACATAAACTTTATTATACTTACTATTCTATACCATACCATACGGTTTTAGAAATCTTATTAACAGTCTTGTTTATAACAATGTCCTTTTAGTCTTTGGTTATTATGACCCTCAGGCGGCCTATATAAGGGCCATAATAAACCTACGCTATGCCAGATTCAGGTCAGTTAAACGTGTTAGCCGCAAAAGAGCTTTCTGCCATTTGAACATAATTATACACTTAGAGTTATCTTCGCTTGAACGTGTGACCTACAGCAGCACCTCATGGCAGATGGCACTTCTGCTTACCTACCAGCAGAAGGGGAATCAGCAGGCAGATGACTGAGAGCAGCAGTCTGAGAAAAACACACTAACAGTCACAGATGGAGAGATGCTGACTTGGAGACCTTAAAAAGCACTATTTCTAATCTTTTCCTCTTGAAGACAGACTGGGGATCCAATGAAAAACATAGTAATCAAAAGGTAAAGGTTTTATTTTGTGTCACCCTTACAGATTGGGGCAAAAATATATGTACATCAAAAAACTTAATATTTCTTTTAGTCTTTGGAATTCTAGAAATTACTTTTTGATATATAGATGCCGGACTAAGTATTAGGCAACTGTCAGCTTTAAAAGATTATGGTTAGAAAATAAAGCTCGACAAGTCATTTTTATTCAGGAAAGAAAAATTCTAGCTTCTCACCTTGTATGTATTAACATTTCTCAAAAAGTTTTAAGTAGGTACTAACCTCTGACCCGTGTTCCTGTAGCATCAGTCCTTTGAATCCCACCAGCCAGCACCATGGCCACAGCAAGCTTTACTAGATACATCCCAAAAACTTGAGGGCACAAGCTGGCCAATATTTCATTCCTTCCTAGGAAAGGCAGAAAGATCAGATGTTACCGACAGTTTTCAAGAAATCCTATCTGAAATTTCCCTTCTTATCCTAACTTCCTAGAAATATACTCTGTCATCTAAAATGATCAAGAGGACCATTTCTAAATGCCTAAAAGGAGAAAAGGAGTAAATAACTGTTTTGGTCCTAAAACACCTTCTCTTATTAATGCCATATAGAAAAAGTCTGCTTTTTATTGTTTTTTATTTTTATACCTAAGTTTCCATAAATTTATCATACTTTACAAGGGACAGAAAGGAATCTCCTTTATTCCCTCATTAAGCCAACATTATCCCTTTAAAATACCACTGCACTTTACTCTACTTAGTCTAAATAAAATGAAGGTGCTCGATCTCAGTAAGTCAGATTGCAGGAGCCAATAATCTATAAATACAAGAGGTACTTGTAGCTCATGGAGCTTCTCCAGAGGTATAAGAGAAGTAAAATAATCTACCCTGTGAGTCAGTTCAGCATTTGCTCTGAACAGTTTGGTAAAGTCTGTTTTATGTAGAATAATGTTACCAGGGTATCAGAGTATTAAAAAAATCAATATAAACTATAATTCTAGCAATCCAAGCTGGAAGTCTTGGATTCTCCTGATGTGTTGTTGTTTTTTAAGATTTTATTTATTTATTTTAGAGCATGAGCAGGAGGGGTAGAGGGAGAGAGAGAGAGAGAATCTCAAACAGACTCTGTGCTGAGCATGGAGCCCAACTTGGGGCTTGATCCCAGGACCCTGAGATCATGACCTGAACCGAAATGAAGAGTCAAGAGGCTTAGCCTGATCTCATGCCCTTTTTTTTTTTTTTTAAGATTTTTTTTTTTTAAAGATTTTATTTATTTATTTGACAGAGAGACACAGCGAGAGCAGGAACACAAGCAGGGGGAGTGGAAGAGGGAGAAGCAGGCTTCCTGCCGAGCAGGGAGCCCGATGTGGGGACTCGATCCCAGGACCCTGGGACCATGACCTGAGCCGAAGGCAGACACTTAATAACTGAGCCACCCAGGCGCCCCTTAAGAGTTTTTTATTTATTTGACGGGGTTGGGGGTGGCACAAGCAGGGGGAGCAGCAGGCAGAGGGGGAGAAGCAGGCTCCGTGCTGAGCAGGGAGCTGGATGCAGGGCTCGATCCCAGGACCCCAGGACCAGGGGATCATGACCTGAGCCGAAGGCAGACGCTTAACCAACTGAGCCACCCAGGCGCCCCAATCATGTGGTTTAAATAAGAGAATATCACTGTCTTGAGTTTCTGTTTTCAGAAATGTCAAAACACCAAAACTGAGAATCTGCCTATGCCACATATAAATAAAGTAGGTATTTCATTCGATCACTGGCCTAATTAACCAGCAGGGGCTCTTAGAACCTATGACATCCTAACAAGCCTGTCCTGAGCTTGTCTTAACTTATGTGGAATCCACTACTGTGATGGTACTCTATCTACATGCTGGCAACTGTTGCGTGTTTCAGGACTTCATGTTTGTGCTCATGTTCCAGAGGTAGTTCTTTTGAAGAGGAAAATAATCATGTAAATACTTAGCTCATTATTCCAGTTCCAGAAGCTTTTCTGACAAAGCATTAAGGGAAAGGAAAGGGGCTTCCTCCAGAATTTATGGCCTTATACACAAAGGCTACTTTTTGTAATGAATCAGAATTGATCCAATGGCAATGTGGGGTGATATGACCTGGGATGGCAGAAATGGTGAAGAAAGAAAACCTTTTAGTAAAATGGGAATTAGAAAAAAGAATTAGTAAATCCTAGAAGGCAGTTCATTAAGTGCCAGAGAGAATCTCTTCCTTTCCTGAGGGAGAAAGCCCAGAGGAAAAAAGATGACGACGGTTCGGGATCTAAGCAAATAAGACACCATAGCAGGTAGGTAAGTTCTGACCAGACTTACACATACAAAGAAGGAAGGACTAGCCCCAACAGGCAGGTTTCGATGTAGGCAAACTGGCCGGGGAGACTTCCATGCAGCTGTGCTGAATAAAGGTGGACTCACGCCTGATGTGCTTACAGGAAACAATCCCAGTGGTAAAGAGCGCAGGCTCCGGGGCCAGAGGCCTGGATTCACATTCCAGTGCTATTACTTATTACCCGTCTGACCTTGGGCAAGTTTCTTAACCTCTCTGCCTCTATTTTCTTATCTGTAAAATGGAAAGATAATGGTATCTTGTAGAACTATTGAGGATCAAAGGAGTTAATAAGTGTATAGCACATAGAACAGGTATTAAGCTATTATATTACCTGTATTACTTGTGCTTATTTCTGATCTCAAGATTTCCTCACAATGTTTAACACAAAAGATAAAAGGCCAGGTCTGAAGTACAAGAGAAAAATAAAGGGGAAGAACCATTCCCTTAAATTTGTTGTCTAAAGTTCCTTGAATCATGACAATAGATGCTCCTACGGCTAGATCATGGAAGAGAATGCATTAGAGTGAATACTCCCCCAACCCTATCTCCCTCCCAGATTTCTGATTCTAGACCATGTTAATAGTGTGTCTATGGCCTATTAGCCTACTCTTGTGGCATGGCCCTCAGTTACCCCAATGAAGAGGACTTCCTACATCTAAGATAACAGTCATCCCAGAATGGGTTCAGATGGCCCAAAAGACCCCATCCCTACATCTGGGGTTTCTATTCAGCATCTAAGCACCAGGGTCAGAGGATCCCAGACATTACTATAGACTGGAATAAAGTCTTCAGCTTCTAGACAGTACCCACAGTATCAGATCTTAATGAAGCAGATCAACCTCCAAGAGTTGAGGAGGAAGTAATCTCTGGCTTTAGACTAGCAAAATGAAGACATCCTTTTGGATGCAGCTCCCCACCTTCACCACCCCTTCCCTTATTTCCCCCAACTAGCACACATACACTTTGAATTGGTACAGTACAGTGTACTGGTACTGTGTACTTGGGAAACTAAAAGCAGAATCCATTCAGACTGAAAAGAAAAATGTTGCCTCATTTTCTTTTTCTTCTTATGTTTCTTACAAGGTCATTATATTTACTTCTTTTTATCCAGTAAATGAGTTGTACACCCATAACCTTCTAATTAAAACAAAGTAGACTCTTTAATTGCCAGCACAAAGCGCTTCTCATGGTCTGGTTAGGACACTGTATGATGCCCTTCCTTTACTGTTACAGGAAGAGCTGAGCTGTGGCACTGCAATTAATAAGAAATGACCGTGGTCCAAAGAAGAGTTAACAGATTTTTGTGAGGACCTGACCCTAAGAAACAATTTTAAATACAAAAATTCATTTAAAAATATATATGGTTCTTAAAGGGCTTGCTTAATAAAGCCACAATGTAGAGAACTTTAGTTCCTTCTGTACAGATTAAAGAATGATCAGGAACCACTACATATATGTGCTATATGCAGAAGCAAAAAAAATAAAAATTCATCACACAAAATAAAAGCAAACTACCTATAGACAAACAAGAACCTTATTTTGTGAATTGGTATCTGTTCAGTTCAGTATTTGATTTTTTTTTTTTTTTAAAGATTTTTGTTTATTTTAGAGAGAGAGAGAGACACCTCATAAGCAGAAGGGGCACAAGGAGAGGGAGAGAGAATCTCAAGCAGACTCCGTGCTGAGCGCAGAGTCCAATGCAGGACTTGATCTCATGACCCTAAGATCACGACCTGAGCCGAAACCAAGAGTTGGACACTTAAGCGACTGCGCCACCCAGGCACCCCACTTCAGTATTTAAGAATAAAGTAATCAGTATGTATGAGACTTGAGATGAAGTTTATTAGAAATAGTCTATCACTGGCTTCAGTTTATTTTGCTCAGAAGATGCCTCCAAGGAAGAATGAAAACAGACATTTGAAGATTTAACTGGTGTTTTATACCTTCGGAATTTTTAAATAAAAAATACCCTATGAACCCAAAGGCTGTGATGTTTTAGTCTACATATCTTAGTGCCATAGTCAAAAGTTTTTGCTGTGATGACAAAGCTTATTTTTTGTATCTTTTTCTCATCATCTTTCATATTGACTGCATATTTAAAAATCTTTAGCTAAAATAGTGTGCAGTTGTCTTTATTATCTAAGGTACATCAGAGAAGAAATAAGGCTTTCATAGGATGAGGTTTCATAGTAGGATGCGTTTTGTCTAGTTAAGGAGGAATTGTATATTTGATTGGTAAAGAAGGGAGAAAACTGGCAGTACAAGAGATGTCTAAAATAATAGAAATGGAAAATTTCTTGTAATCCAGCCTTGATTTTCCACAAAGATCTAAATAGAAAAGACTATATCAGAAAAGGGCTCTTCAAAAGGAAACTGCGGCTAGAAGTACTGACGGATGCTACCACTTTTTGAATTCAGCCACTGAGTTTTGCAGCAGGTAAGGCTCCTCCTAATCACAGACCTCATATTTAACTACTTAATGAAATGCCATTAATAAGTATCAGCTTTATACCCTTAATCACAAACCTGCAAAGGGATCACTCTTATAGGACTCCCAAAAATCTTCAAATTCCTTTTGGACCTCCTCATCCATGATGATCCCTGCAGACTGCTCATTATTTACTTGGACATAATTGGCTTTCAGGACTATCTCCACTTCACAGCGCACATCTTGCTGAAAAGGCTTCCACCGTTGCATTACAACTCCGTAAATAGTGAGGTCATCACCTAGAAGAGAGCACACCACTTGCTGGGCACAGACTTGCATGACACAGATCCAGAAACAAGAAACCACTCTCCCACCAGGTTTAGAATGGTAAACACTCATCCAGAAAACAATCTGGAGGCCAAGGAACGCCACAGGTTTCCTACTTTTCCTTTCTTCTGGCTCTTTGTTTTACAAGCGCTTGTATCTTTAGCTAAAAGCTAAAGTCAGTGTTTTTATTTTTCTTTATCTGCCACATGATGATCACACCAAATTATTACCCTTCACTGGAAAAATAGCTTACCAGGTGATTTATTCATTGTTATTATATGGGGTGAAATGTTCATCCTCTCATAATTCCTAACCATACAGTTCTCATTTAAAGAACAGGTGGGAACCACAGCTGGAAGGTTAAGCTATAATCAATTTGGTGTCAGGAAAGGAGACGATCTTGTGATAACTGACACTAGTTTTAGTTTCTTATATATTAATTTTTATGTATCACCTTTATTGCTATTTTACTTACTGCCTTAAAAAAACAGATGAATGAATTAAGAAATAAGTAAATACTGTTTTACTTCAAAGCCCTTTTCCATAAACTATGAAAGCACAAGATAAATCCTGCTTGTTCCTTCTTGGTTGGTTCCTTCCCACCTGAAGAAACTTTCCTATTCCTGGTGATCAGAGTATTAAACTTTTACAGGTTTTCCTAAGAGGCCTTGGGTCACTCATGGGCACATTCTCCAAACACTGACATTCTGTGCTTATTATTACATACAATTCATGCATCAATTAACAGGTATATATGAATGAATGGTTGGCATCCAGTATTTTGGTATGAGAGAAAAGGGGGACAGAAGAAGAAAAGATGAGCCTAGTCCTCAAAATCTTATTGAATATAAGATGTTGGACATACCCCAAATCCAATCTGGTATTTATAATTTGTGCAACAAATAGTGTCTCTGAACTAACTGGCAAGTCTTCATTTCCAAGCCTGTGTCAAATATATGGTATTTGCTGATGCAAAAGCCTTTAACTCTCTAAATTTCAATGCGTAATGTGTAATCTGTGGAGCTTTTGATTTTCTGAAGAAAGTGTTCTGTAAATGATAAACGAATGGAACTGGTGATAGCAATTACATGATAGAGAGCATATTTCTAGCCAAAGGCAACTTCATAATAAATGGTGACAAACACATTCAATGGGTGCTTTGCATGTGTTTTCAAGATCTTCTGAAGCCACTGCTTGGATGGTTTTCAAACAGAATCAAGAATAATGATCATTTACTATATTGTCTGCCCCCAGTTTTTAGATGGAAATAACTGGGGTAACTATATGAGCACTTGGAACAGTCCTTTACTTTCATTTTAATGGATTATACTTAGGTTGTTTCTAAATTAGTCGAATAAGAAACTTAACTTTTAGATACAGCACCCACAAATAATCGGACTTCAATAAGCAGTGAAAATGTGGAAAATGTAGTGTCCTGAAGAATGGCCAAAAGCCTGATATTGTCAGATTTGGGTTCAAATCCCAGCTCCACCACTCACTGGTTATGTTCTTGGGCAAATTACCTAACTTTGCTGAGCCTACGTTTTGACCTACAAAATGGGAATAGTTACATTTATGTCACAGGACCACAGTAAAAATTAACTCAGAAAATGTTTATAAATTACTTCATACAATATCTAGAATATAATATGTGCTCAACAGCTAAGTAGCAGCTATTATACTAAGCCTTGTTATTACACTTAAACTTTCCTGTAGTAAAAGTTATAAACAACGTTATTTGCAGGGAACTACAATTCCTACTTTTATATAATCCTCTCTCTTTGTGCCGCTCTGTCTTCTGCAGCCTATTTACCACTGCAGCCACCCCCAGGCGGGCCCATTTCTGATCTGCTGCAATGGCAGTTATCAGGACACAACCTCCAACTTTATTACTCTGCATGTGTCAGATTGGGGTTCCCAACCAGACTGTAAATTCCTGAAGGTCAAGGATTATGCCATTTATCTTTTGATTCCCGCAGAGGTTTGTAGCTATGGATAAATGAAAAAAACGCTGTTGACGGACTGTTTCCATCCATTATTATTAGTGACATGTAAAAGAAAAATAGCTTTAGATTTTTTTCAGTGCAGAGAGAATTCAGTTTAGATGGACTGCATGAAAACATCTTATTTTCTATCAAAAGTTCATGTTTGGTGTTCAGGCCAAGCTTTCATGTTCAGGCTAAGCTTACATAAGCACTACTTTGCTAATCCAGATATTACAGGTTTTGGTTAAAATCTAGAGTCCTGTATGAAAAAAGTACTTTGACACAGCCTGGTCCATTTATCAGGCAATCCATGATCAAAGTTGTTATTTCCATGGAGTACTCTTTAGACAACTATAAACTGTTAATATATTTGACATAAATTTCAAACTATAGGTTGGTGATTCTTGGGTGGATGGGGGCAGTTTCTTGACAAATTACTCTTGACTCTAGATACTGAACTCTTATTTCCATAGTTATTGCCTCATTGTTTTAATGAAATGGCAGCTCAGGAAATATTTTATAAATGAGGCATTTGGAGAAATCTACGATTAAAAAAGGAGAGAAACAATGGAATTTGGAGAAATGAAGCACTTTTGATCTGTCTGGTATGGGAGAACAGGGATGTAGAATAAGAGGTCAGATATACCTGTTTCTGCCAGGGGACACATTTGTGCTATGAGTTTTCTATACAGACTAAGGGTGAGTGAGATTAAGGTTTGAGTGAGAACAGGAAATATTTAAAGTAGGGAATGTTGAGGTGAATTAAGAACAACTGTTGACACCCAGCTGAAGTTTACCAACCATTTCCATTTTCTGACCCACCTTCAACGTAACTTATATGTTAAAAAGCAAATGGAAATTCCTAGGCAAACAGTAAAAGCAACAGTTTTAAAGTTATTTGGAATAAGAAGAGGAAAGAGAAAGAATAAGCTCTCATACCTTCTCCACAGACAAAGGTCTGGTCAAGGCCTGGGAATGTGTATAGGGAGCAGAAGATGCCGGCTTTAGGGGCAGGATGCCATCTGCCTTTACTAGGGCTGGAAACAGTAGCCTCAGAGACGCTGACAAAAGTTTCGCAGTTTTTAGGATAACTTTTTTAGGGATTGAAATTCTGTAAATCCAAAAGACTTTTTAAACTCCATTCTAGAGTCTTTAGTACCTGTCAGTTCTGGTAAAAGTTTCTGATTAAAACTTTGAGATTAAGAGTGCCTGGGTGGCTCAGTCGTTAAGCATCTGCCTTCGGCTCAGGTCATGATCCTGGGGGCCTGGGATCAAGCCCCACAACGGGATCCCTGCTCGGCGGGAGGCCTGCTTCTCCCTCTCCCACTCCCCCTGCTTGTGTTCGCTCTCTCGCTCGGTCTCGCTCTGTCAAATAAATAAATAAAATCTTAAAAAAAAAAAAACTTTCAGATTATCCTTTCGAAGGCAGTCCACTTGGTGTCTGAGATCTTTACCTTTAGCTGACCAGCGCCATGTCAATTTTACAGCCCTAGCTTCTACCAACAACTGAAAAAAGCTCCCTTTATTCTCTTATTCTTTCTTTTTGCATTACATATGTAAAATAATACCACCACATGTTTTAAAAACATGCCAGATTTTATTAAGAATATCTCATGATATTTAAATGTGGTTACTGCAGAAGAGAGAATAACATTTACTCTCTTGAGCAACACTACTGATTTATAAAACCTCCTAACATCTTATTTTTTCCAATAAAACTCTTCCCTACCATATTCTTTACAAAAACAGTAATTTTAAAATTCAATGTAGAACACTTCCATTCTATACATGAGGGCCGATATTAATCCCTGCCCTTCCACAAATACTTTTTTTTTTTTTTTAAGATTTCATTTATTTATTTTAGAGAAAGAGAGAGCACAAGCAGAGTGGGTAGGGTGAGGGAGATATCTTCGGCAGACTCTGCCCTGAGCACAGAGCCTAATGCGGGGCTCAATCTCACGACCCTGAGATCATGACCTGAGCTGAAACCAAGAGTCAGATGCTCAACCAACTGAGCCACCCAGGTGTCCCTTTCCACAAACACTTTAAATTTGATTCTTCCCAGCCTCCCCAGCGAGAATAGGAGGGGCAAGATGAGTTGAGATAGGGCAAAAAAAAGCTTATGAGTGGTCTGATTAGCCTCAAGATCAAAATATAACCAAGATGACATTGCAACAACCCCTTCTGGAGCCCTCAGATTTCCAGAACAGCTCTGAGGCTCAGAGTCTTTGATTGCCGAACGCTGTAGATCATCCAGACCAACTACCATCCTGAGACCTGAGTCACTAACAAGATGCTGTACACCCTATGCTTGATTGTCTCTGAGAAAAGAAACTCACCATCATCTGAGTCCCAGGGTGAACACCTTATATTATTAGATATTGAGTCAAATATCTACCTTCCTGGAGCTTCAGCCTACTGAAACCCAATAGTATCTTCTGGAACTATAATTCCATTTCTGTATGACAACCTTCCAATTAATGAAAAGTTGGCTGTCATGTCCATCCTGAGGCTTCTCTATGCTAAACACCCACAGTTCTTTTCAGTATGGTTTTGAGTTCCTTCCCAATTCGGGCAATTGGCCAATAGAAACACTGAGATCCCTCAGTGGACAAAATCAATGTGACTCCAGCACAGAGGAGAGAGGAACAATCACCTCCTTTCTTCTGGATAGCAATAAGAGTACAGTAGCATCTGACAGTCATACTGTCTGATGCATTTTATTTAACTGAATGCTAAATCTGCTACAATTTTTTTTTTTTTTAAAGATTTTATTTATTTATTTGAGAGAGAGAGAATGAGAGAGAGCACGAGCGGGAAGAGGGTCAGAGGGAGAAGCAGACCCCCAGCTGAGCAGGGAGCCCGATGTGGGACTCAATCCCGGGACTCCAGGATCATGACCTGAGCCGAAGGCAGTCGCTCAACCAACTGAGCCACCCAGGCGCCCCTCAATCTGCTACAATTTTTAAAGTTGCTGCTGTTAAGCAAGGATATACTGAAGAGACAACTGGATGAAAAAGTCAATGGATCTGGGTTTATGTTCTAGTTCTGCCACTTAACTCTCCATGTGACCTTGGGCAAGTTGGGTTCTTCATTTATAAAACAAGTGGCTGGACTGGACTGCTAAGCTGTAGCCCAGCTGCTTTCCTGTTAGGTATCACCTCCCACCTCCATGCCAGTTTCTATTCTCAGGGTGAACAATTAAGCCTTCACACTCACTTCCCAGTGTTCTTGGGAAAATAAAAAGTGGCTTTTTCCTAATCAGTACTTTAGGACATCTTATATAAGCTAGCAAAAGTTATTTCTCACCAGATTTGCAACTGTCTACTAAGTCATCTTCCAGGATAACCTTCATAGATCGTGGAATACTTCCAACAGATAGCCTTTGCACCTAGCAAGGAAAAGCAGACACATACTGAGTATGCTTAAATACATGCTAAGTATTCAGAAGCCTAGCAGTTCTTGAAATTACTGTTTCTATTTCCCTGGTATTATCATACAATTTAATTATGATGGGGATTTATAGAATTTTCTTGAAAATTGTGCCTACTACCCATTTACAAACTCACTAAAACCAGAGTAAAATAAAAACACCATTATGGAAAATAGCTCCAAATATAATCTACCCTGAGGATGGTCAAAAGAAACATACACTCCAATTATTAAACACAGTAACAAAGTTACTTACCTAGTTCTTTCCTGATCTCTAGTCCTAAGACCTGGGACAAATCACTGTTCCTTTGATTATTTCTTAGTGACAGAACCCTGGTTTTAGTCCACGTGGACATGTACCCAGTAAAAAGACTGTATTTCCCAGCTCCCCTGCACCTGGGCATGGTCATATGACTAAGCTCTGGCTAATGAAATACGAGTAGATATGCTGTGAGAGACTTCAAGGAAGACTGACTCGAATGGGGAGTTGGGGTTAGACAGCTGATGCTGTTGTCTGTCCCTCCCTTTCCCTCCTCCCTGGCTAGCATACACCAGTGACAGAGCTGTAACTACCATCCTGGACTAAGAATAGAGGCCATGTGTTAAAAATGGTATAGAAAGACAGGAGTTTGAGTCCTCAACACTGAATATGCCTTTGTGTTTCAGTGGCAAGTAAAGGAAAACCTGGCACACTCTGACATGTTAAAGAGTGTCTATGTATGCCTTATTGGACACAGAAAATAAAATCGGGCCTAACCCCCAAATCCTGACCACTCCAATGTTTAACAATCACTTAAACCCATTTAATTTTCTCCTATCCCTTAAATACAGCTTGTTTGAACTTCTTAAATACTCCCTAATTTTAACATAATTATTAAGTCATTCCACAACCCTTCTGCCAATGCTCTCTATACAGAGATGATTACTGCATGTCTCTAAAGACTGTATTCTGATACATGTGCAACTATACTATGGGATGACACAAGTTCCATTTGTAGTCCTGTACGTGTTCCCGAGTCCTGGTAATTTGCCCACAGCCGAAAAAAACCTTCTTCAGAGTTGTTATTTTTCTCATTTCTTTGATCATTTACCTGTTCCTGAATTTTGATTTCCTGGTAATCTCTACACCTAGTTGGAGATGAAGACAAGCCTGAGAGGCAAGTGAATTTTGAAGAATCACAGCTCTCCAAGCTGGGACAGGAGGATGGCCGGCAGAAGGTATAATACTGCTCAAAGTCAGCTTTGACCACAAATACATGTTTGCATTTGTTACACATGTACTCTCGCTCAAACTCCAGGATCTTCACCAGGCTTGTTCGAATTACTGTCCCAGTGACAGATAAAAAGTGTCCCACATCCTTGGTTTTAGGGATGTGCTCCCTCACCAGCTCAGGACAAACAGGTAAACCTGATGGAGAGAAACAACAAAAACCACATCAACTTATATCTTGGGATTTGACTCCATGGAATATATTCTTCTCATATTTCCTAGGGAAGAAGGTATTTGAGTTTGCCTAAAATTTGAGTTTCACTTAAGAAAAAAAATCAGACCAACTCAATATAGAAAATAGACAAGGATTATTTTAAATAACAATGATCAGTGTACTCCTTCTAAAAGTATATATCCAGGGGCGCCTGGGTGGCTCAGTCGGTTAAGCATTTGCCTTGAGCTCATGTCATGATCCCAGGGTCCTGGAATCGAGCCCTGCCATCAGGCTCTCTGCTCAGCGGGGAGTCTGCTTCTCCCTCTCCCTCTGTGCTCTCTCTCAAATAAAATCGTTAAAAAAAATAAAAGTATATATCCAGATGACATAATAACCAGGATTAAAAAAAAGGACTGATTTTCATAAGAGGGCTAGCACAGTAGACTCTAAATACAGTATGTAATTGTAACCTCATTCAACAAAAAACATACTGCCACAGGCAAAACATAAAATCAACTGATGACTGAGTAAACCACAAAGCTGAGTGATAAAGGGAGGGTAGCATAATGACCAGAGCCCCACCATGCTAGAAGGCTATTGCTTTTTTTAGTTAGGTTCAGAATTTATTAATACATAAATCTGACTGTTTCCAAGCCTTGAATTACCTAGAGGTTTACCCACAGCAGCACCATTTTATCCCTTAAAAAACTTGTGTTTTTCATCATTAATAAACAGGCAACTTTTTAAAAGGTACAAAATGCCAAAGAAAATTCTTTTTTTTTAAGATTTTATTTATTTATTTGACAGAGAGAGAGAGAGAGAGAGAGAGAGACTGTGCGCCCAAGCAGGGGGAGTGGCAGGCAGAGGGAGAGGGAGAAGCAGGCTCCCTGCTGAGCAGAGAGCCCCAGTGCGGGCTCAATCCCAGGATCCTGGGATCATGATCTAAGCTAAAGGCAGACTCTTAACTGACTGAGCCACTCAGGCGCCCCTGTGATTTTTAAATAAGCTTAAAATATAAAGATGAAGGCAACATAATGTTAAGCAAAACTGACCATATACAATCAAAATCTTAATACTAAAAAAGACGCTAAGAGACAGTGTTTTGATAGAAATGTCAATTTATTTTCATCTTTCTGTCTTACTATACATTTACTAAGTATGTTCTTCAACTATACTAGTGAAGGGGTGGTGGTGGTGGTGTGTGGTGTACATCAGGCACTAAGCCACGATTAGTGCTGAACACAAAAACCTTTATCATTCCCTGATTCATTCAACAATCAAGAACAAAAAGAAATTTTGGAAATAGATTCTGAGCTGTCCATATCTATGTCTATGCTAGAGATATGTCCATATCAATTACTTCAGGCCCCTGGTTTTCAGCATGTAATTCCTGGAAAAGCAGCATCAGCATCACCTAGGATCTGTTAGAAATGCAAATTCTTGGGCCTCATGCCAGTCCTTCTCAATTAGAAACTCTGTGGGTGGGGCCTAACAATCAGTGTTTTAACAAGGCCTACAGTTGATTCTGATCGACATTAATGTTTGAGAACCACTAGTTTAAGTAACACATGAATGCTATTTTTTCCTTCTCATTTAGTTTGATGCTATCTGGGTATTAGAACACCTTTCATCAAAACCACTGGAAATAGCAAGTAAACTTTAGGTTAATAAAAATCCCAGAAGACAAAGAGCAACATATATCCTGGAAAGATAAACCAGAAAATGTCTTAGGTTCCTAAGAAGACTGAAACACAGAGACAACCTGTTTTTATAATTGAATGCCTTGCCTGGAGTCCAAGATGAAGCTGCAATACACCTAAAACCAGACTATTTCCATCCCCACCTTACCTTCTCTTCTTGTAATCTCCAGTGAATCTGCTAGAATTCATTCCCTGTTCTGTGGGCTAATATATCTTGCACCTACCTTGAGTGAGGCATGCATCACATAACGTAAAAGCTGCCACTAAGCTCCATAAACAATTGTTTAACATGCACATAGGCATGTATCTTTGAGCATACGTACACCATTTGGTAAATATTTGACTATACAGCTATACCCCCTACAGTCATGAGCTTATTTAGATGAGGGACTATACCATATTATTTTGGTTTCTCAGGAGACTAGCAAATGCCTACACTTAATGCATTTGTAGAATAAATGCACCATGGTAGTAACATAATTTGCAATTTTTTTTTCAGAGAATTAGAAAAAAAAAATAGGCTAAATTTACCTGAAACCAATAGGGTCACCTAGGCAGACAAAATTTTGGTATTTAAGCATGGAAAAATATCTAAATATAAGGACAGCCTAAAACCATTCTTAAATACCATTTCAGTAACACTAACTAAAGTCCCTTTTAACAATCTTTTTGCAACATTATTATAAGGAAACATTTGTTCTTGATCCTACCAAGAGATTATCTAGTGTCCTGATCTTAAAGATTTGTAATATTCATAATTTTATTCTAGATAAAATACTATTTTTTCAATTAAATCAAATGTATGGTCTTTCGGCAGGGGGATCTTAATTTGTCTCCAAAAAGTTCTACTATGCTGACTCATCTTTTTGGAATCATAGCAAGCATTTTTGATTATAAATCCCCACTTTTCTGAAATGTATTATAAAGTATTTATTTCCAAACAAAATGGTACATGTGTTCTCCAACTTAATCTGCAGTAATTCAAAGATACAGCTTTGCCACAAGCTGATTGCTCCACTGCAGCATCTTAACAAAAATTTTTTTTTAAAGATTTTATTTATTTGAGAGAGAGAGAGAGAGAGAGAAAGAGAACACAAGCGGGGGAGAGGGAGAAGCAGGCTCCCTGCTGAGCAAGGAGCCTGATGCAGGGTTTGATCCCAACACCCTGGAATCATGACCTGAGCCAAAGGCAGACGCTTAACCAACTGAGCCACCCAGGTGCCCTGCATCTTAAAAATTAAGATACTTAATCTGTTATTCATTCGAAAAAAACTGAGTGCCTATTAGGTGGCCAGCATAATGCTAAACTTGAGATATAAAAATAATAAATTTCCTAAAATAGTTCTGAAGATCACAGGGTGGAAGGTACCACTTTTCTAATTCTTGATATTATCAATTCTTTTGTTAGTAGTCACAAAAGCTCATTAAGGCTGCTTTGAATTATAATTTTATACACACATATCCATGTGTGTGTATGTGCACACTAATATACTGTTGTCTCCATACATTCTCCTTCCCCTCGGTTGGCATGGCTAGTACCCCAGCCTTCCAAATGTCCAGAGGAAACAGTATAAAATTACTATTCTGCTTTAAAAGTGACTATCAACTACACAATAAATATATTTTTAAGTATAAATATCAATTATTTCTTAGTGCTCTGAGTTCAATATGTGTTAGAATTTTTCAAAATGTTCCTAGAGAATAAGTGGCAGTAAAATCCTTAAGTGATTCACCTGATATCCTGGCATGAAGATTCTGCTTCATAGAAGCACCCTCAGGTTGAGAAAGGGATTGGAGAATCGTCAAGGCTGATCTTCGCAGAGCGCTATCAAAAACTGTTAGTACTTCACTTGGAAATGCGTTGAAATATTCCCCAATTTCCATGTTAGTCTCAAAAAGGGTCATGGCATTAACCACAACTGGGTAATGAGCATCTTCGTCACTTTCCTCCAAGATTAGAAGAATATCATTCTTATGGTATTCCGAAACATAGGATTCGAACACTTGACCAACCAGTGTAACTTGATCACTGTTCATCTTCAATCTAGGTGATTAAAGAAAAAGACCATATTATACCTTTGATATTGCGACTTAGACACAAGTTAACAAACAAACAAAAAACTGGTTGTAAATTGTTATGGGCCACACTATCAACTCAAAATAATATCCAAATTAAAATCTTAATAAGATCTGAATTACCTGTTATAGTCACTTAGTAAATGTATTTTTTAAGAAAGTGAAGCTAAACCAAAGCCCAAGAATTCTGTTTGTACTGATCAGTGAAATCCAAAATGGTCCAATGGCTTTCCCGTAGCTTTTCCCAAAACTTCCTCCTCATTAATCCTATGATGCACTGTGAAAAAGGCCCTTCCCCTTTCTTTAACCACATTCCATATGCACGTATGCTCTCAGGTATAAAATCTTAAACAGCAGTCTTTTGGCTGAAGTTCTTTGCATGTGCTCCAGTTCTAGGTTTTATCCATACAAAGAACATACCCTCCTTTCTCTCTTTCACTCTCTCTCATTACACACACATATTCATGGGTTTTCTGCTACATAAATGCAACATACATGGATAGCCAGTTCTGACTTGAATAGTTAACAGATTTGTTTCAGAAATTTACATTTTGAGGTGAATTTGCTTCTCATTTTCTCTTTCTAAACTAGGAAACCTATTGGCTTCAGCAAAAACAGCTGTCAATAGTGTAAAGAAACTAGATAATTAAGCTGAGGAAAGGAAAATTGGTCTTTAAATGATAAATAACTAGGATTGAAAATAAATATACTATATTACATTACTTCACCTATCTTATTCCCCTGGCAATATATTTTTAAATTTGTATCTACAGATTAAAAGAGCCTACCCCCATTCTATTTTCATGTATACAGACAGATATCTATCATACTCATTCACTATGTTGGGAAATAAAAAGCATAATAAAAGATCCTCAATGCCTCAGAGAACCAAGGAACAGATCAAAATGAAACAGTGCCCTAGTAGTGGTAAAAATGCAATAAGAATGGGAGTACAAAGGAAAAAAGGATTAAATTTAAATGGAGTGACAATCCTAGACATGGCAATGGGCAGTTCCAAATAAACTGTTGAAATCGATCATCTAAGAAACCCTTATTTGGTTTGGTAACAGAGAACTGGAGGACAAATGTGCTTTAATTTGACATTTCATTCACCCACAATTTATTGTATTAGGTTCAACAAATAGATGATAAAAGATGACTTATGAAGTTCACATTTCAGCATCCTAACTATGCGTTACACAGGCTATTTATTAGCAATATTTTGCCTTTTCAGGGAACCTACTATTCTAGAAGGTGTGAAAGGAGTACAGGGGGTATGTGTCATAGGCCAAGAAGTCTCACAACTACAGGGCACCTGGGTGGCTCAGTTGGCTAAGCGACTGCCTTCGGCTCAGGTCATGATCCTGGAGTCCCGGGATCGAGTCCCGCATCGCGCTCCCTGCTCGGCAGGGAGTCTGCTTCTCCCTCTGACCCTCCCCCCTCTCATGCTCTATCTCATTCTCTCAAATAAATAAATAAAATCTTTAAAAAAAAAAAAGAAGTCTCACAACTACAGGATACAAGCGTGAGACTGACAGATGGGTATGTGTATATCTAGGAGAATGAGAGCAAATTATGGCCATTGTATTGATAAGTAATTTGTTTTGATTAGGTAATATAAATTCAGCCAAGTGTAAAGAGTTGCTACAAATTAATCTCTAAGATTCTATAAATACGTATTAAATTTGGAACCACAAGTTTAGCAATATAAAAGCTCCACATAGGGCAGAAAGGGGGTAGCTGCAGAATTCATGGTTCAAACTAAAGTCAGATTAAATTCTGCCTAGTCTTTTTTGAAATGGCATCTTTAAAAAAAAAAACAGCATCCCCTTTCAAAACCTGTGCAAAACTGTTCAACTGTTTCTAAGCAGTTTGTTACCCCTATAAACATGCCCACCCTTATTGTTCTACAACTTTCAAGTTCCCTTTCCTTTTCCTTAGGGTGAAGTCAAAATACAACGATGTGCTACTTCATCCTTTGGACCACGTGAAGCGCCCACGAGAGCCAGGAGGGCTAATAAGGGGCGACTTGCAGCTGGACCACCCGGAATTCCCGCCCGCCCGGCGGCCACGCCACACCCACCGGGAGCCACGCCCCCTCGCCGGTCCCCGCGGCGCCGCGTCCTAAGACCCGCCCCTCTCGCCGACTGCCCGCGTCTTCCAGGCACCTCCTCCCCGTCCGCCCGCTAGCTGCCCGCGGGCGCTCGGCAAACGAGGAGTCGGGTTGTACTCAGGGGGCTGCTTATCACACTTCCGTCTCTGGACGCAGCCCCTGCCCTACGGTACCTCAGCAAGACTCTGACACTACCCGGGCTCGGCAACCGGGCAGCTCGGTCGCCCGACCAACCCCGGAGTTGAATAGTTTGGGAACTAACCAGATGTGGGCGAGACTTAGGACGAACAGGGGGAGAGAAAAAAAATAGTAACGGTGAAACGAGGCTGCGGCTGTCACTTACTGGCGGATACGCAGTGTCAGAAGTCATCGGGGACACGCTGCTCCCGAGGCCAAGGGGCGCGGAGAGCTCGGGCCTGGCTGCGGGCGCTCGAGGAGGCCGCTGGGGGCGGGGCGGGGCGCGTGCGCCGGCCGCTCGAGGCGTCGCCGGCCGCGGGGGCGCGCAGGCTGCGGCGGATCCGCCTCGCGCCTGGGCGAAATAGGCGCTGCGCCGGCTCCTCGGCCGGGCCCGCGCACCCGACGGACGCCGAGCCGCGCACCACTTCAACTTCGCCGTTCAGGTGGCTCTTCCGGGTGGAGAAGCGGGCGGGCGCGCGCCCCGCCTGGTGCCGCGGGACGCGAGAAGGTGGGGCGGGGAGCGGTGGGAGGGGCTAGGAGGGCCGGGGCAGGCCCCGAGGAGTTCCAGGGCGGGGCCAGGCGGAGCCTCCCGCCCCAGGTGGAAGCAGAAGAGCGGGGGCTGTGCGGTGGCTTGAGTGGCCCGTGTGGTTCGCGCTTTTGGTCTAAGAACTCTGGCAAGCACAAAATCGCGAAGATTTTCTGCTGTTTTCTTCTACACGTTTTAGGATGAAGGTACAGCATTCCCATATAACCCTCCCCTTCATATACCATATTCCCCGCGCACCCACAACCTACACCATTGTCAACATATTATTCTCACCAGATGGTGCATTTGTTACAGTCAGTGAGCATACATTGAAACATCGCCATCACCCAAAGTACATTGTTTACAGTCTTGTTCGCTCTTGGTGTTGTACATTCTATGGGTTTTAACAGATGTAGTATAATAACATGTATCCACTGTCGTTGTATATACAGAATAGTTTCACTGCTCTGAAAGTCTGCTCTCTTCATCCCTCCCTCCCACCTAATCTGTAGCAGCAACTAATCTTTTTACTGTTTCCATAGTTTTTCCTTTTCCAGGATGTCATATATAATTGACTTCAATAACACAGGTTTGAACTGTATGGGTCCACTTATACATGGGTTTTTTTACAGTACTGTAAATGTATTTTCTTTTCCTTATGATTTTTTTTTTTAAGATTTAAGTAATCTCTATACCCCACATGGGGCTGGAACTCATGACCCTGAAGTCAAGCATGACACACTCTGCTGACTGAGCCAGCCAGGTGTCCCTCCTTATGATTTTTTAAATTACACTTTCTTTTCTCTAGCTCACTTTACTGTAATAATACAGTATATAATATGTATACAAAATATGTATTAATTGTTTGTTATCGGTAAGGCTTCTTGTCAACAGGCCATTAGTAGTTAACTTTCTGAAGGAGTCAAAAGTTACATGTGGATTTTTAATGTGTGAGGGGGTCAACCCCAACCCGTGTTGTTCAAGGGTCACTTGTAGTTGAAATCATACAATATGTAGCTTTTTCAGGTTGTCTTCTTTCACTAGTAATACATGTTTAAGTTTCCTCCATGTCTTTTCATGGCTTGATAGCTCATTTCTTTTTGGTGCTGCATAATAATCCATTATCTGGATATACCACACTTTATTTGTCCACTTACCTACTGAAGGATATCTTGGTTGCTTCCAAGTTTTACCAGTTATGAATAAAGCCAGTATATTTATCCATGTACAGGTTTTTGTGTGGGTATAAGTTTTCAGCTCCTTTGGGTAAATACCAAGGATCATAATTGCTTCTTGAATGAATTATATGGTAAGGTTATGTTTAGTTTTGTAAGGAAACCACCAAAATGTCTTCCAAAGAGATCATACAACTTTGCATTCCTGACAGCAATGAATGAGAGTTCTTGTTGCTCCACGTCCCCTCCAGCATTTGATGTTGTCAGTATTTTGGATTTTGGCCACTCTAATAGGTCTGTAGTGATACCTCATTGTTATGTTAATTTGCAGTTCCCTGATAACCTGTGATGGTGAACATCTTTTCATATGTTTACTTTTCATCTGTATATCTTCTTTGGTGAGGTGTCCAGATCTTTTATCTTTAAATCATGTTGTTTTCTTACTGTCTAGTTTTGAAAGTCCTTTATCAGAAATGTCTTGAGAATACTTCCAGTCTGTGGCTTATCTTCTTTTTTTTTTTTTTTAAGATTTTATTTGTTTATTTGACAGAGACACGAGAGAGGGAACACAAGCAGGGGGAGAGGGAGAGGGAGAAGCAGGCTTCCCGCTGAGCAGGGAGCCCGATGCGGGGCTCGATCCCAGGACTCTGGGATCATGACCCCTGCTGAAGGCAGACGCTTAACGACTGAGCCACCCAGGCTTCCCATCTTCTCTTTCTTTTAACATTGTCTCTCACTGAACAGATTTTTAGTTAGTTTTTTTTTTTTTTTAAGATTTTATTTATTTGACAGAGAGAGACACAGCAAGAGAGGGAACACAAGCAGAGGGAGTGGGAGAGGGAGACGCAGGCTTCCCGTTGAGCAAGGAGCCCGATGTGGGGCTCGATCCCAGGACCCTGGGATCATGACCTGAGCCGAAGGCAGACGCTTAACGACTGAGCCACCCAGGCGCCCCGGTTTTTAGTTTTAATTATATCCAGCTCATTAATTATTTCTTTCATGGATTTTGCTTTTGGTGTTGTATTTGAAAAGTTATCACCATTCCCAAAGTCATCTAGGTTTTCTCCTATGTTTTAGGGCGTTTATAGTTTTGTGTTTTACACTTAGGTCTATGATCTACTCTGAGTTAATTTTTGTGAAGGGTGTTAAGATCTATGTCTAGATTGTGTATGCACACACGCATATGCACATATGTGGTTGTCCAATTGGTCTAGCACTATTTGTTGAAAAGACTATTTTGTTCCATTTGTCAAAGATCTGTATTGCCTTTGATCCCTTGTCAAAGATCAGATAACTATATTTATGTGGTCTATTTGTGGGCTCTCTATTCTGTTCCATTAATCTACTAGTCTGTTCTTTCACTAATACCACACTGTCTTGATTACTGTACTTTTACAGTGAGTCTTGAAGTCAGATAGTGTCAGTCCTCCAAATTTATTCTCCTTCAATATTGAGTTGGCTATTCTCGGTCTTTTGCTTCTCCATATAGACTTTAGAATCCTTTTGTCAACATCCATAAAATAACTTGCTGGGATTTTGATTGTGATGGGATGAAACTATAGATCAAGTGGGAAGAACTAATGTTTTGACAATATTGAGTCTTCATATCTATGAATATGAAATATCTATCTCTCCACTAATTTAGTTCTTCTTTGATATCTTTCATCAGAGTTTTGTAGTTTTCCTCATATAGATTTTGTAAATAATCTTGTTAGATTTATACCTAAGTATTACTGTGTGTGTGTGTGGAGGGGGTGCTAATGTAAATGGTAATATGTTTTTAATTTCAAATTCCACTTGTTCATTGCTTATATATAAGAAAGCAGTTAACTTCCATATATTTGTATGCTGGAATCTTGCCATAATCACTTATTAGATCCAGAAGTTTTATATGTAGATTCTTTCAGATGTTCTACATAGATGATCATGTCACCTGCAAATAAGTAGTTTTATTTCTTCCTTCCCAATCTCTGTCATTTTTATTTTCTTTTTTTATTGCATTAACTGGGACTTCTAGTATGATGTTAAAAAGCAGGAACGAAAGGGGACACCCTTGCCTTGTTCCTGATCTTAGTGGGAAAGCAAGTTTCTCACTAATAAATATGATGTTAGCTGCCAGAATTTTTGGTAGGTGTTCTTTATCAAGTTGAGGAAGTTCTCCTCTATTTCTAGTTTGCTGGGAGTTTTTATCATGAATGAGTGTTAGATTTGTCAAATACTTTTTCTGCTTCTCTTTATATAATCCCATGATTTTCCTTCATTAGTCTGTTGATATGATGCATTACAGTAACTGATTTTCAAATGTTGAAACAGCCTTGCCTACCTTGGATAAATCCCACTTGGGTGTGGTGCCTAATTCTTTTTATACATTATTGGATTCAATTTGCTAATATTTTGTTGAGGATTTTTGCATCTATGTTCATGAGAGATACTGGTCTCTTTTTCTTGTAGTGTCTCTGTCTGATTTTGGCACTGGAGTAATGCTGGCCTGAAAGACTGAGTTAGGAAATATTCCCTCTGCTTCTGTGTTCTAGAAGAGACCATAGAGAATTGGTATAGTTTCTTTCTTAAATGTTTGGTAGAGGAGCGCCTGGGTGGCTCAGTTGTTAGGCATCTGCCTTCGGCTCAGGTCATGATCCCAGGGTCCTGGGATCGAGTCCCGCATCGGGCTCCCTGCTCCGCGGGAAGCCTGCTTCTCCCTCTCCCGCTCCCCCTGCTTGTGTTCCCTCTCTCTCTGTGTCTCTCTCTGTCAAAAAAATAAATAAAATCTAAAAAAAAAAAAAAAAAAAAGAATCAGTGCTATATTTTGTCAAATGCTTTTCCTGCATCTGTTGAGAGGATCTGGTTCTTATCCTTTCTTTTATTAATATGGTGTATCATGTTGATTGATTTGCAAATGTTGAATCACCCCTGCTGCCCAGGAATAAATTCCATTTGATCATGGTGAATAATTCTCAAGTTCCAAAAAATAGAAATGGAAGTAAAATTTCCAAACTCCTTCTATGAGGGCAACATTACCTTGATTCCAAACCAGACAAAGACCCCACTAAAAAGGAGAATTACAGGCCAATTTTTCCCTGATGAACATGGATGCAGCAATTCTCAACAAGATACTAGAAAATCAAATATCATGTAACTTTTAAGATCTCTCAGCAACATTAAAATATGCAATATAGTATAATTAACTACAGTCACCATGCTGTACATTACATCCCCATGACTTATTTATTTTATAACTGGATGTTCTCACCTTTTGAGTTCCTTCACCCATTTCTCTCCCTCCACACCCCCTTCTCTACCTTTCTGCCTCTTGCAACCACCAGTCTGTTTTCTGTATCTGTGAACTGGGTTTTGTTTTTTGTTTTTGCTATTTTACATTCCATATATAAGTGAGATCATGTGGTATTTGTCTTTCCCTATCCAACTTACTTCACGTAGCATAATGCCTTGGCGGTCCATCCATGTTGTGACAAATGGCAAGATTTCATTCTTTTTTATGGTTGAATAATATTCTGTTGTATAGTGTGTGTGTGTCGTGTGTCTGTACACACAACATTTTCTTTATCCATTCGCCCATGGATGGAGAGTTAGGTTGTTTCCATGTCTTGACTATTGTAAATAATGCTACAATGAACATGGGGGGTGCATATATATTTTTGACTTCGTGTTTTTATTTCTTTTGGATGAATACCTAAGTGGAATTGTTGGATTATATGATAGTCCTATTTTCCATTTTTTTGAGGAACCTGCATACTGTTTCCATAGTGGCTGCGCCAATTTACATTCCTACTAACAGTGCATGAGGATTCCCTTTTCTCCACATTCATGCCAGCACTTTCTATTTGTCTTGTTGATACTAGCCATTCTGACTTGTGTGAGGTGATATCTCCTTGTCGTTTTGATTTGCCTATCCCTGATGATGGGTGTTGTTGAACATCTTTTCCTGTGTCTTGGCCATTTCAGTGTCTTTGGAAAAATGTCTATTCAGATTCTCAGCCCGTTTTTCAATCAGATTGTTCACTTTTTTTTTT